TTATGTCCATATTTACATTTTAAAGTCTTATGTATATCTTTACCCACTTTTTTTTTTTTCTATTAATCTTGCTAGAGTACTTTGTAATTCTTTTTAAAAACAAGTTTTTGGATTTGTGGCCTCTCTATTGATATCTGTTTTCTATTTCATTAATTTGCATTTATATAAACTCATATCTTTATTGTTTCCTTTCTTATGCTTCCCTTTGGATAAGCTGCTCAAGCATTTCTATTCCAAAGCCAAATGCCTTACAAGCACTAAAAAACATAACAGAATGAAAAAATAACTAGTAGAAAAGGGCTAGACACATCTGGATTCCAATCTTGACTGTCTTACTAGTTGGGATATCTTGGCTTATCAGCTGATAACCTTGGTCATATATCTTAAGATAGATGAAAACATAAATTCACAAGTTGAATATTTTAGGTGACATGTTTTGTGCAGAACCTGTATAACCATTACCTCCCTTGACCTGACCAGTAAATGCCTACCAGTGCAGCCCTAGATTACTTTTGTTGGCAACCATATCCCAAAGTTAACTGAGATTGATATTACTGTTAAGTAAACTCCTTAATTTTTCCCACTAAATTGCTGTTAAACTGAATCCTCCCCTATCTGGTACATATTCAGTTGCTCAATTGTAAAAACTGATCTTTGTCCCCATTGCACTCCATTAGAAGGTGCTGCAAACAAAATGAGCCATATGAATATTAAAACGCGCTTTTATGTAATAATTTACAATGTTAGAATTAGTGCTTTATATATTTAATCAGGAAAAATATCAAGATACTGTTATGATAAGGTTAGGTAAGTTTGAGAGATATGTATGTTTGACCTTGAGTCCTTGTAGGTGGGATAATTTTGCATAGTAGACTTTACCATAGCTATGGGCAACAAGTGAGTTCTTGGCTTTTTTTTTTTTTTTTTTGAAATAAATATATTTCTTCATGTACCCCTAACAATTCATTTGGTTAGTTCTAGGTAGCAAATCTTCTTGATCCTACTCCATTACCAAATCATTCTTAACGAGATCTGATTTATTAAATAAAAATTCAATCACAGTTGATTTGTCCTATTTACATTTTTGACCGTGCCATTCTCCACATACACAATACCTTCTTAATTAATCCATTTAATCCAAGACTTGAATTGGAGGAAGGTAAGGATGGGGAATTGGGTTTGACCTTTACTTTTGAATAATTACCAGTCACAAATACACATTCTGCTGTCGAGAGGAGAGGGGATCATGCTTATCAGTTTTTAATTTTTTTCATCATGTTTGAAATCATTTCTCAACCCTGATATAAATCCTAAGTCAAGAGTCATTTCTGAACAAACTAATCAAACCTACTTCCGTCGTTGTTGTTAAGCATGGAGCATTAATCACAAAGTATTTGTTGAGCTCCTTTTATGTGCCAAGAACGACCCTGTCCTGTGAATCTCAAACATCAATCTCCTTCAAATCCACAGCTTCAATTTGATATCTGAGAGACAGAACTGAAAGTCAAGCAAGCACAACAGAGAAGAACTAGAGATTACTTTTGGAGGCCAGATGCTATTTTGTCAGCAGACTCATAATGTGCATTTTAAGCTAGGCTATAGGTACTCTTGGCAACGACATGAAACAATTTAAAAGCTCCCGAAGTTGGAAACAGAAAAAGGCAATGTAATGTTGTAGAAAATAAGCATTGTTCGCTGAAGAACAAATCACATAAGATTAATTTAATAATGTTCAGAGACAGGATTGTAAAACTTAATGGTAATGCGGGAACAGTAGACAAGCCAAGCCAGATTCTCAGGGAACTTTACTGATGTGGAGAGAATTGGTTTTGGAAGCTGCACTAACTATTTCAGACCACTAGGGTAACCTTAAGTAAATTACTATTTCCATGTTCCAACAGTACTTAGTTTACTAAAGCAGTGAATTATTCCAACTCTGAAATACCCAAACTGTTTCTGAATAGCTGTGGCCTGTAGCAAATCAGCAGGATGCTGTCCTCCAGTTCTTTCCATTCCTGCCTCATCCCAAGCTTAAACCAATGCCTTACAACCAGACTTTAACACTTGCCAAGCATTCTGAAAAATGCAACGCTGCCTAGTACAACCCTGTGGGTGCCTGACTTCATCTTCTTTGACTCTCTTGAGTGAGGGGTGGGGGGAATTAACACTGGATAGTGCCAGCTGTGCTAAATAATCACCCACAGGTGAGGGGAAAAAAAATTTTTTTTTCAAGATTGTTATTGAGGAATTAATTCATAACGGAGATTGTGGAAATATTTAGATGGGCAGTATATAAAAATGTTTCTTAGGATAAGAAATACTCCTTTGCTAAACTGGCGGGTGTGCTTGAGTTTTCTCACAATTGGGTGGACCTCTATGTCAGCAAAGTGTATCCCATGTGAGAGCAGTTTCATCATTTGGAGTCAGGTTCCTAAAAAAAGGAAGGATGCCATGTGGCATCTTCATTATAATAGAATATGCACAGCACATCTCCCTTTGTTATAAGGAGCCTTATAACCAAGTGATTTGGAAAATGTTTGAAAATTGGTTATACAAATATTTAGCAAAGCTAATAGCATCCCATAAATATTTTTTTGACTTAGGAATTAACACTAAAAAAGCAGAGGAGGGATGATATACCCACAGCCTCTTGGTCATGGATGTAAATGAAATTCAGTATCAAAGCAAGATGCACTAGTTTCTTGATATACTATTTCTGTCAGATTCTGGCAATGGCTCTGATTTGAACAGCAATTACTGGTAAAGAATTTAGCCTCAACTATTTAGAAAAAGTGGCTTTATTGAATTTACAAACAAGGCCCTACAATTTTCCATTTCCTTAGCAAGATATTAAATCAACCAAGCTAAGCATGTCATCATGACTGTAATTTACGTGATGTGACATGGCAGTTAAGATGTACTGTGGTAATTTGTGAGAGCTTGCAGTATTATTGTAGTATCAAAAATTTATATGGTTCAGTTATTAAAGCAAATTGTTTCATTCATACTGAGATATCTGACAGTAAACCACCAAGGGCTTCCACATTACATTAAAAAATGTCTTCCATATTCAAACAATTTGCACACCCTGTTACCATTATTTTGCTCACTGAGTGGAAATTGAAGCACAGGCAAGCAGAGCTTTTTGATGTGAAAATGATGTGTGGGGGGATATGAAGTGCTTCATTGTGGGTGGTTATTAAGAAACAGCTCAGCCAGGATAAAGGAAGTTATCTTTGGGCACCAACAACTATGAACAGGATGTCCAAATTCTTTGCTCTGTTGCTATTTAATATCCCATTTGCTTGCTTTCCTTATGTCAGTTTGATTTTCAGCCAACAGAAAGAAAAAGCATATGACCAAAGAAAAAATATGGAAAATGCCATAAAGAATATTCTACTATAAGCAATTCTTAAATAAATTTCACCATTGTAAGAAAAATAAGACCTTTGAAACGCATCCAATTTTGACCCAAGGCTCTTCTCTGAACTCCTCAGAGCAGGGGAAAAAATTTGACAGTTTATATATTTATTTTTTTTCCCACAATTTTAAGCTGTAGACAGTCGAGTCTTATGTGCTATTTTATTCTTGTTGGGAATACAGGAGCTTCCAAAATAGAACAGTATAGAATGACTTCTTGCTATAAAAGGCCTTGCAAATACAAGTTTAATTGGATTTTTATTACAGCTGTAGAATTTTATGCCATACACACTGTCTCTTTTAAAGTACATATTCATTGAAAAATGGATTTTATTCATTAACACATTTTTCATAATAGCATTTAGAAGTCTGCTAAAAATAAGAAACTGGCCACTAGTTAATTTTTTTTCTTAATCAGCTAAAACCACCAGTTTCCATTCACTGAATAAGATGTGAACTATTAAGTTTTTCTTTCTTAATACTCAGATGCCGTGCAAGAGAACCACTTACAATAAATATATTTTGTTTGTTTAATCAATGAAGATTTCTTCAAAAGCAACACTATATTCTTAGAGGTGAAAACTCAGAGGCTTACATAGCATCAATTTGCTAAGGGAGTTTTCTGTCACGGTTACAGTTTCTGGTGTGATTAGGTAGTTTAACTATCAGCTGATAAGGTACTAACTTTTGCAGAACAAGCAGAACATTTAGAATTACTACGCCAAATTTGGTTTCCAACAAATTTTTAGGCAAAGTAAAATAAAATAAAATAATAAAAGCCACAGTCCCTATCTAGAGTTCATCCGCAGAAGAAAAAAATAAATAACGAACTAAAAACAAAAAACACCTGCATGTCTGAGGCTGCTACATTTGTTTATCTGTGTATGTTTTTATATATGTATGAGTGGGCTTTAAAACAAACGTGCTTTCGATCTGGCATTTCTTTTACGGTAGTTTTCCTTTTGAGCTCCAGGAAATATGTTGTTTGCATAAGCTTCATGGCAAGCAAGCATTAAGTCAGTTATATAACAAATTTCATTTCCAATTAACATTCATACAAGGTAGAAAAATTAGCTGTCTTCAATATCAGCTTTGAAATAAAATAGAAACAGATGCAGAAAATTTCAGCAAGTATCCTACCACAGACAACTCTAGAAAAACAGCTATTTCAAGTAAACACAACACCGTTTCTTCCAATATTTATCATTTGTTTCACAAAAATATCTTTGAGGTTTTGCAAAACTATCCTAGAGTCTTCCTCAGTGTATTCATTCGTTCAAAAAGTTAGCATAAATATGACTTAGAAACTACTCCCCCCATCCCCAAAAAAAGTTAGCATAGAATACCAACTATGTAAAGTTGTATATTAGGGATGCTATAGACCATTAACTTTTGGTATACATACTTTCCACAGGGGGCCTTGGAGAAACATCCAACTTAAACTGATTTAGTTGCTTCTGGCCACCCAACGCATCATGAATTTGTTCTGACCTTTCTTTAAAAAAATACTTAATAAAACCCATTTTCTGTATTGATCCGCTAACCCGAAGAAGCAAGAAGCCAGCACTGTGTGGACTTACTTTGTTTCCCAGATATGGAGCTGGTGCACTCCAGTAGTAGCCCTGTGGCAAAGCACGGTGGGATTCCTCACTGCTGATGCTGATCTGCTGAGGTGGGTCTAAGTCATCCTGCTGGGGAGCCACTTGAACGCGGCCAGAGATGTCCATCAGGTACCAGCCACGCATGTCTTGTATCTTCAAGAAAACACACAATCATCTTACTTATGAAAAACAAAACCAAAAACCACCTCCAACTCTTTCTTTCCTATTCTGTATAGTGTCCACTTTTTGGAAATTAAAAAAAAAAAACTATTAAAGTTTAGAAAAACAGAAGAACTGTGGAAAATGTGAAACTTATCATATGTACTCATTATAGATTCTCATTGTGTTCTTGTTGATTCTAGGAGTTTGGATAGTAATATGTAATAATCTGTTATTATTGATCCAGTACTTTTTAAAAAGTTATAACTCCAAATACTTCTTTCTTAAAAATAGAAATGTGTTCAAAGTTACACAATGATTATAATGTTGTATAAATTATCAGATAGTTGGGCTCTAAATTGCATGTATTTCATTCCACTAATAATTTCTTGTTGCTGATGGGAAAAATAATTTCAAAAGGTTTTATATATATATTTGTAAAACACAGGAAAAGAAATAAAATATGCAAGTGCCTGAAAGTTAGCTTTTCATTCAGTATTTCCACCCTTTCCACTTAATTAAATTTCAGTTTTGAGGCTTAAGGACATTCGAATCCACCAGCCTGTTGCTATGGCCACAGCTCACAATACTATACCTAGTCCTTCCCATGGGGTTCGAAGTGTTGTAGGAATTCATAGCCTAGATCCTTGGCCCAGAAAAGGAAGGAGCCTTAAAGGAAAAATTAGGAAACACATGATGATTTGCTTTTCCACCTTTAGACTGCAGCCGGGAGAGGGCATACAGCTACAATTCTAATTTAGACTGCCCTACCTAGTTGGGACAAAACACAAGATATTGAGGTTTGTGGCTACCAGGGGCCCACTTAGATGTGAGTGGCTTGGTGTTGTAGGTGATGGGGAGCAGAACAGTGATGGTGATAATCTGTGGATGACAGATTTTTTAATTTTTTTTTCATGTAGAGGTCATTTGATTCTCCCTCTCCCAAAGCTGTGGAATTGCTGGGACTAGACCTTAAGATATATGTTACTTCCTTCTCTCCTCTTTCTAACATCATCCTTCAGGGATGCTAAGACAGCGCAGTGAGATTCAGAGAAAGTTCATTCCAGAAGGCTAACCGAAATGCAAATATCAGTTGGACCTAATTGCTGAAAACCAAGGCTAAATGCCACTTCTGCTCTTCTGCTGACCATAGAACTTTGATGTTATTGGAACAGTCTAGAGGGTGGGGTGAAACTCTACAAACAGGAGGAGGAAGTGGACTAGATGTCTAATTGCTGTTGGTTCTAGGCAATCTGTTCTGAAAGCAATACATTTAATAGTGTATAGATTTCAATTTAAACATGAGAGTACAATCAGAAACTACTCATGAAATTATAGACTTAACATAAAAGCAACACAGGCAGAAGAGAATATTTGGTAGTTGTGTTAAGGATTACTCACCTGATTAAAGTTGAAGGTGTGTTTGGAAGGTTGTTTACTGCAAAAGTGTGCTTTGTAAAGCACAAATCTGGTCTTATCACTCCCCTGCTAAAATACCCCAGTGGCTCTCCAAGGATAAGAATCCAACTTAGCATTCGCAACCCTGTATGGTAAAGTTTCTCATTCCCTACCACCCCCCTCCCCGGGCTTCTCTTTCTCCAGCTTGTGTCCTGCTACTCTGTAGTCTTAAGAGCTGCCATACAGGCTATTTGAAATTCCTTGAGGGTCCCATTTTCCTCTCATAGCTCCTCTATCAGGACACAAACCACTGTGCAGAGTTGAAAAGGCAATGGGGAGCAATTCTTCTTAATTTGTATACCAAAAATATTGGTGAATGGAATACACAATTCTTCATATCATACCCGATGCTTTCTCTGTTGAATCATATGCCGTTGGGGCTATAATCACAATAATCCCATTACTGCTTCACATAGTAATCATGGACACTGAAAAGACTAATATTTACTATTTCTAAGAGATTCCAGGCTCCACATTGCTACAAATAAAACCTTCAAGTCTTTGATCAAAAATACACAAATAGCATTTGAAAGGAAAATCCATCCCTTCTTCATGATAATGGTAAGTAGAAACTCACTACCAGAAAACCATTTTTAAAAAATTTCTTACGGAAGAACAATGGAGCAGCGTACAGAATGAAAAGGCTATTGCTTACATGGCCATAAGTCCAGTAGGAGCTCTGACATCTGTCTGAAACCCCGGAACAGAAACACTCATCACAACCTTTACGATTATCCTCTTGCAAATTGAAGAAGCCGGCTTTACAGCGACTGCAATCCTCACCTTCAACATTCTCCTACAAATAGAAACAGAGATGCTCTTCAAGATAAAGAACTGTCTCTATCTAGTTCCATGAAAGGAAAATATACACTGGATCATCTTCATTTTACCCCTCAACCATATTTAAAGGATAATGATATTTTTAAAAATCTGCTCAAAATCTCATTATTAAGCTGCCTCCTTTCTAGCCACACTGATGCGAAAGGATATTGGATATTAATCTACTGTCATAAAAGCTACAGTTTTGATCTTCATGTATGTCAAGAGTGTGGAGTAAACACCATGATAAATACGGCAGTGAGTTACATTGACAAAAATGGATGCAGTCTGGTTCACCATTCTCTGTTGTTGAAATACTTCCTCTTAGAGCACATGATATATGACAAAATTAGAGAATTAAACTCATGGATGTGTAACAGCATGTTGATATTATACAGATGGCAAGATGCTTTCCACATTACATATTAAAAATACATACACTTGGGGCCAGCATGAGAACCTGACAGGGAGAGAAACTGGAATAAATGGCCATAGATTTCCTTGATGCAACTAAGCAGAAAAAGAGGAAAGTTTTTTCTTGGTTAATTTTCACAGTGTTTTCTTTAATACATTGGTGTAGCCAGTTAATCATATAGTCATAATATGGGAAAAATAAATCTCATGCGGTGACTGCTCTCCAGATTGTATCATTAATCCTAGTCCAAACATACTGAAAAATTATTTGTTTATAGATAGGCCTATACCGTGGACTCAGGCCAGGGAAAGCTGATTATCTGATGAAAAACTGGGAAGGCTGTAGTCTCTCAATTTAAAGAACAGTTAATCTTAACTAATAACTTCTAAATGAAGGCTCCTTGCTTTCTAGAAACAGATTCTCGGTATTCCCTACACCTGCATTTGCTCCACATTTTTTCTCTTCCTTGAATTCCTTCATCACCTTAATTCGGAAGCTTTCCTTCTCCTTATAGAACTTCTGTCTCAGCTGTGTTCCCATTGTCCTTTGCACATTGCTCTATTATAACCACCAAAAGAAGCATAGGTACATCTGAGATTGTCGTCTCCAGTTATACACCATGATCTATTCAGAGGTAGAAATCTTGCCTTGTTTTGATAGTTCCTAGAAAATACTGGCGTTCCTCGTACAACATTGAGCAGGAGCTAAACAAAATTTTACTAAGTTTAAATGAATTCCTTTTTTTAAAAAAAAAAAGATTTATTTATTTATATATTTAGAGAGAGAGCACAAGCAGGTGGAACAGCAGAGGGAGAGGGAGAAGCAGACTCCCTGCTGAGCGGGGAGCCCGATGCGGGGCTCGATCCCAGGACCCTGGGATCATGACCTGAGCCGAAGGCAGCCGTCTAACTGCCTGAGCCACCCAGGTACCCCAGTGATTTTCTTGGTGGTTGTGCTTTTCATCCACAGCAAAGTACCATGCATATAGTAGATGTTTAATATAACTATTTTTTGAATAAATCAAGACTGGGCGGAAGATAGGGTTGATAAGATCTGAGAACATAGGAGAAAAAATAGGAGAGAGAGAAAGAGTGTGAAAAAAATGGCAAGATTTGTAAGAATAAACAAATAAAGAGGTTCTGCTCGTATCTGAGAGAATAATTTATTTGGAATTAACTTTTTGACTCAATTTGTATGACCCACTTAAGACCACAATCACTTCTGTATTGTTGGGAACCTAAACAAAGGGGTGTCTCCTGGCCCATTTCACATGTCAAATTTTAGCATCCTGATATATACACAAACTGAATTATTGCCACAGACATTCTTGCTAGTTTTTGTTTCTAGGGCAGATTTCAGATATTTTCAGATGATAAATGTCAGGAAAACTAATCAAAACTAATTTCAGACCTATGGTGACAAGTAACTCCCTAAAGCCCTGAAGTTGGGAGGATCCTCAGAAGAGTATACAGGCAGGAAAGATGAAACATCTTTATAATTACAGTTTAGCTTATCCCACTGAGGACCCAATACAGCTGTTCTGTAGACTGTGCTCTTATGCACTTGGTCTAATCTACTTTTCATTTACTCTAATTTGAAAGTTCATAATACTACTTTTCTGAGATTCAGACTGAGTCCAACAATTTGAAACTTTTAGACATTACATTTTCCTTATCTCTGTTTTAGCCTGGTAATATAACCTTGAAAAAATATGATTAAATAATTTCAATATTCAATTAATTAATAACCTGAGGCAACACATTTGAGTAGGAATTCTAGGGACTCCAAAGATGGATAGGTCAAGGTCTCTGTCTTTAAAAGTCAACATCTAGAGCCGGGTAAAATGATATATTTACAATCCACTATAACGCAAGGTGGAATAGGATCGTGCATCTGAGAAATCAATTAAATTATGGGAACACAGAGGAGGAGGGACTAATTGTGCTACAAAGCCTTGAGGAGGCTTTGGGACAGGAGTGGAATTTGACCTAAATTTTGAAGCCTGGTTTAAAAATTCAACCTGTTGGACGAGATAAAATGAGAGACCCATGTTAGCAAAGAGATTGGAAACAAGAAATAATTCAAAGAGTGGAAGATGCATTCGTTATTTATTCTTTCAAAACAGAGACACTGAATATTTCCTGTACGCCAGGGTCTGCACTTGGTACTTGGCTTCCAGTGTCCCTGCCCTCACGTAATGAACTTTCAAGGTTACTCTGAGATATGGATCTTTTCTCTTCGGACCTGGTAAATCATTACAGGTCATTCAGCAGGAGGTAAATCAAAAGAACTATACTTGATGCACCTAAGTTGGCAGGAACAGGTAAAATGTCGACTAAGAAAGGCAAGACACTGGTACAAAGAACTCTTTCATCACCATATGGTGAGGTAAAGGGTTAATTCAATAGACTTGGAATGCTCAAACCCTACATATTCTAAACTGAAAAGACCATCCCTTGCCCAGCTCCTGGGAGATAACCTATAAGCCCTTGGAATATTCTGCTTGATAAAAACGTCTTTGTATACCTGGGGCCAGGGGTCACACCAGACAGTTTATGCTAACAATGCCACTTATGGTGAATGTCTAGTTTTGTTTACCCACGACACTGGGCCACATTTATCAGCTTCCAGTGCCATTTATGGTGAATGCCTAGTTTTGTCTACCTGGGTTTCTGAGTCACGATGTATCAGTTTGATCTCTGGAGGAACTGGAGACTGGTCAGTCATATGGGAGCTTCATACCTGAATGACTGACCTCCCAATAAAAATCCTGAATAGCAAGACTTGGGTGAGTTTCCTTGGTTGGCAATACTTCATAAGTGTTGCCATACATTGCTACTGGAGAAATAAATACTTTCTGTATGATTCCGTTGGGAGAGGATAACTGGAAGTTTGCACTTGGTCTCTTCTGGACAATTCCCTATGCACCTTTGTGCTTGCTGATTCTTTCCCTGTAATAAACCGTTACTGTGAGTACAACAAATTTTCAGAATTCTGTGAATCCTTCTCACACACGATGAGTAAACACACTCAACATACTGTGGTAAAGATAATAGGATGTTTATACCTATAAAAACAGGTTACCTAAAGTGATAGCTTTGCTTTGTTTGTTGTGACAAATCTTCAAACCAAAACATTTTAGACCTTTTTATAGGTCCTCAAGCTAATCCTATTCTACATCCCCATGCTCACTTCAACCCTCCTCATAAGTAATGATCAATTTCTATAAGATTTTCATAGACCTTACACATGACTGCATAGCATGTCAGCTCCATGCCACAACTTTAAGTTTCTAGACTCCTACTTATTTAGTCCTGAGTCTGCACCATATTTTTTTCTTTAGTGAGTGGTAGCTAGGTTCATTGGATTGAAAAGTGCTTGGTTCTGATTGTTCTCAGGTTCTACAACAGACAAATATTAAGCCAAAACTAAATAGTAAATATGGTGGCTATAGTACCAACTTATATATCTGTCTTCATGGCCTAACTAAAAGGGTCTTTCGAGGCTGACAGGAGATGAATTGAACATAAAATCTTTTTAGGTCACTAGAGCTCTGCTTTCCGGTCATGTCTCAACCTGTAGAGAATTAATTAGTTATAGCAGGTTCAACTTCCTTCCTCCTTTTCCAATCTCCCTTGAGAGTATATCTAAGTAATTTCTTATTTAAGGATTGTGTTTCCAAAGTTTTATTTCAAATGATATTAGCTTCAAAACAGTGAAAACATCACAAAACAGTTTGATATTTAATATATTTTAGAGTGGCACAATTCAAACACAATGGCACAGTGTTCCAGGACTTATATTGAGCCTTCATAGAGACAAGTTCCCCACCTTCTACTAGATTGCTAACATTGACAGTCTTGGCAGCTTGGTTCTCAATTCTTTTTATGGGTTCCAAGGTACATAATTGCTTTTTCAAAACTTCTTTGTGGTTCATCAACAATGCCATACATGAAGTGGCTATGATTATATTCCTGATTCATTTCTGGAAGATCGTTTTGATATGAATTTTTGATTCACAGATTGAGAGTGAATCTTCTGCTTTATGGGTAAGTTCCTTGAGCAATTTAACTTACTATGCTGTCAGTATCGAATTATTAATAAAATCTATGTTATTTTTCACTATTCCCTTATTTACTATTATTACTCACTCATATCATCAAATCATAGGTGATATACTAAACATAAAGCAATATGCGAGATGCCTGAGGGAATATAAAAATATTCAGGAGGATTATGGCAAGGGAAGTAAGAGTATGGACAAATCAATATACTACAAGGCAGAAGGAAGTCACTGTCCCTGAAGGGTTACTGAGGACATGCTGTGAGTCAGACACCAGATTCATCTCCAGAGTCCTCCATCTGCAGGAAAAATAAGACAGAAAAAGAAGACAGGTGTCAAAGTAACTGATCCTAAATATCTAATAATGGTGAGTTTGCAACTTCCAGCCCAAATGTTATTTTAGTCATGAGATTTCTCTCTCCTTTAGCTATCATTCTATTACCTCTTTGTACTGATCAACTTCAAAAAGAGTTAATATATAATTTAATAAAATTTCTAA